ACTAAAAATAGAGTAATAATATTGATAACTACACATTGTAAACTGCAACAGTAACCGTAACAATATCCATAATATTTATTATATTGCCAGAATAACTAAAGCTTTAAAGCTGATTTACTTGTTTTTTCACCAGCTGGGGGCACAACTGCTGCAAAAACAGCATTTACATATAAAAAGTAATTGTACAAAGCTGTTAAAGTTGATGTGACGAATATGTTGACACAACCAGCAGACATGAAGCAAAACAAACATTTTAGTGTTTTTTACTTGAATGTAAACCAACGTTTACTCTAATTATTAGTGGTTTGTCTCCACTAAACATGCTTCATTATACTCAACAGCAAGCCACTAACTTCATCTGTCTGGTGTTAGTGGACAATGAAAACAGCTGCAGCTGATTATGAGTTGACCACAAAACGAGGGAGAGAGTTGATGGGAGCTTGGGCTTGACAGATGGTGCTTACCTTGATCTGAGAGGTAGCATCCATCCTCTGGGCAGATGTTGCTGTGCCATTGGTCAGCTTCAGTGAGGGGGAGGATCCAGAGAGTGATGGGAGATGAGGAGGTGGAGGAAGGGCCTGATAGAAAATATTAAAATATACTGTACTTTACTGATCACTGATGGCTGAACCGTAGCCTTACCAGTGTGATTAAAATTCAACAGTTAACAGACCCTAGTGGTAAGGCGATGCACTGAATACCCCTTGTAGTCTTTCCACACAACACGTCAGCCACACTGTCCCCGTCTCACCAGAGTGATCCTACCTGTGTAGGAGAGGAGACACTCCCAGCCAGTGTCTCTGGTGGAGAGGGCAGAGCTCCCAGGTCCAGAGGAGACTCCTGGCTGACCGGCTGCTCTGGAGACAGACTGTCATTACTGTCCTCATCGCCTGACAAGATATCACCTGAAGCCTTTGAAAACTGCGTCTCTGAGAGAGGGAAGAGGGAGAAAGGAAAGGATTGATATCTGGGCAAATAAAAGCTTTCCAGGCTACTGCAATGTCCTCCTTGCCTTGTGTGTACCTGTCTTACTCGTGTACATCCCTACAATCAGAGGCCACACAACAAGCTGTTATCACCTCCATTTACAGGTGGACGCCTCCTACTAAAACCAAGTGCCCCTGCCAATGAACTAACAACCTGAGCATCCTCACAGTCAGCCAACATTACCATCAGTGCCTCGTCTACAAATGCAGTATTAGCTAAACATCCGTGCATGCATGCACTAACACCTCTCTGACTGAATAAAATGCTACAAAAACACACACAACAAACCTCTTCTTCAGTGTCTGCTCCAGAAATGTCAGTGGCTCCTGCAGAAGAACCTAAATACCGGTCCCCTCTGCCTGCACATCCCTCCCATAAAACCTAAATTTAGACCATATATTCTCTTTTGTCCGTGGTGTGACCACAATGAGTCAAGCTTGAAAGTTTCCATAAGTTAATTTTCAGGGCAGCTCAATAAATCTGGCCACCTCATTCATACCAGCTTTTATGTGACAGATGGTGTCTCTCTAAGGAAGGACGTTATGCTGAAAATTCTGGAGGATCCGCTGTGTAGTTTATGCTATGAATGCATTAACTACCTATCTGATGGCTTCTCCTCCAGTCCTACTAGTGAGATTCTGTAAAAATGTTTCTCAGGTGACAAATAAATAATGCTTAATGAAATAAAAACTACATAAAACGTTAAAGGGAAGCAAACCAGATTTAGTCCTCAAAGCTCAAGGTTCCAAAGTGTTTCACATCAAAATGAACTAACTTTGTCAAAATGACATATTTCACTCAATCACAGTAAAGCATAATAAAATAGATATAAAATAATAAAGAGGACAAAATAAATGAGAAAATCCTAGTGCTAGTGAGAAGAGATGAGTTTTCGGTAATAATTTAAAGGTGACCAGACCAGGGGCAGAGCTGATCGCTAATAGCAGGTTATTCCATAGTTTTGGACCAGCAACAGCAAATGATCGCCTTTGAGCTTTAGTCGAGATCATGGGCCCACCGTTTATGATCTAAGAGATCTTCCTGGAAGGTAAGGATAACAAATCACTGTAGGGGGGTGCTAAACCATTTAACGCTTTAAATCACCAGGACTCCACTGCCCTCTCTGCAGAGCATCTAGCACTGCAGGGTGTGTAGGAAAGCTGCCTCCATCCTGAAAGATCCCACCCACCCCCAGCACGGACTGTTCACACCCCTACCCTCCGGTCGGAGGCTCAGCAGTGTGAAATGTAGGACCACTAGACTGAAAAACTCTTTCTTTCAACTGCCATCAGACTCCTAAACAGCTGACTCAGGATCTACCTCATATAATTCCATCTGTACCGTTTACATACTTGTTTTGCACATGCACAATTGCACACTCACTGCTGAGTATTTGCACTCCAAGGCTCCCACATAGCATATATTATCTCTGTATTATATTGTGTTCTTGTTGTATTTTTATTTGCTTCCTTCACTTGCTGCTTTAAAGTGCCTTAGATTTGTGTTATTGTGACGATTTGCTGTGGCGACCCCTAGACGGGAAAAGCCGAAAGTGACTTTCTATTGTGTGGCATTCATGTGGACGGCAAAGTAAGAATTTCATTGTACAGGGAAACACATTTCCTAACTGTGCATATGACAAATAAACACTTTGACCTTAAAAACAAAAAGCAAGACCTTAGAATTGATTCTTAAACAAATTGGAAGCCAGAGGAGTGAAGCGACTGTGGGTGTTATATGGTCGTGTTTCCAGGCATTTGTCAATAGATGAGCAGTGGCGTTCTGGACCAACTGAAGACAAAGGGATGACCGATTAGCTCCTACATGTAGTGCATTACAATAATCTAATCACTGAGGTAATCAGTTTATCTAGAGCATAATCATATATTACACCAAGATTCTTCACTTGAGATTTGGCGTATTGGGGCAAAGAGCCAAGATCAGGATTCAGAACATGTGCTGAGCCTGAGCCCCCAGAGACCACACACTCTGTCTCACTTTCATTACGATCCAAGAAGTTCAAAGTTAACCAGGTTTTGAGTTCACTCAAACTGTGGAACAGTTAAGACACATGACAGCACAGCCAAGAATCCCGGCTGTGCCCCCCAGGAACATCATACAGTCATCTCATTATTATGCAGACACATCAGTCTCTTTGGGGATTTAAGGAATAATTGTACTCGCTAGGATCTCCTGGACTAGAACATGTTGTTCTTTTGCTAGTGGATGCCTGTTATTTCATTTCAGGAGCTGCTCACAACTGCAGGAGGCAGCTATGTAGAACACCCTTGACCATTAATTTACCATCAGCATGTAATGATGAAAAGACAACACAGGACTGACTTAACACCCTCTGATCCAGTAATGACTTCCCTGCTGTCTGTGTGTCACGCATTAAATCTTTGTATCTTTGCATGTCAACTCAGTATAACTGTTTCCAACACTCCTACAGTAAGTGACCATAACGCAGTGACACAGATGGATAATCCACTGACACTCTCTTATTGAACCTCAGCAATTTTCCCTCCATGCATCAATCAAGCAGCTGGACCCACTGACTCTGATCTCATCCTCTCATGGCTGACAGCATGGGATTAAGGATATACAATAAAAGTTCAATTGTTCTGCTCCCTTGCTTCTTTCATTGTTGAAAAGGGTGAAATTGGGGGCATTATTTCTGTCACAATGCCCAAATTACAACCGAGTGAGATCACATTCATCCATTTACAGTCCTAACACCCATCAGTTAGCATGTAATACTCCCAATAAAACATAATGGCTTTTATTAACAGACACAGTGGCTATTTAATGCCGACAGGAGACAAGAGATCTCTTTACCTCCTGTCTGTCAAGCAGGGATGAGAGGGCAGACATGATTTATTATATCCTATTGTAACCGTTCTAAGCCCACAGCAGTGGCTGTGTGAAGCGTTAACACTCAGCTGTGTAACGTGGTTGTGTGTATTTCAGCACACATGCTTCTAGGGACACTGGATGTGAATGCATGCGAATGTGCGCCTCTTGGTGTGTGGTGAGCACAGCTGAGGCATCTGATGGAGAACATCGGGATTTCTATAATAGCTGTAGGCAGGGGTCAGGAGGGACCCCCTGTCAGGAGCCTCAAAGTGTGGGTGTGTTGTGATATATTACACTTCCAAATTTATATTACAACTCCACATATAGTATTTACAGGGCACATTTTTTAAGGTACTGGTGCTTGCTTTTGCAACAACAAAACTGAGATAATTGGCCACTTAGAAATCAAAGTTCAGAACATGTTAGAAAATCACTGTGTGCACTAGTGAAAGGGACTGAACAAAACAAACAAGCATGCACATGAATAAGGCAGAAGTCAGAGAGAAAATGTGAGTTCTGAAACCAGACATTAAGTGCTCGACATCCAGGAACATATGGAATACAGGAGACTGTGGTTCTGTAGGCTGGCCACTGCAACAACTAAGGTAGAGCTACTCTCAAACTTGGAGAGAGAACAAGGTGAATCCCATGACTCAAGACCTCAGAAGCCTGAAAGCTTCAAATGT